TATTGAGCAGGGTGTTTTCTCAACTAATATGGGGAGAATGAGGGGGGGGGGAGAAAAAAAAGGGGGGGGGGGGCTAAGAAACATTTATAAGTCAAAAAAATTTTTTCGAGGTGGCTCGCCTCGCCTAAATATTTCACTTATCTAATTTCTTTATATAAATTTTTGTTTCTTTTAAATCAAGATTTATTTCATTCTAATCCCCCTTTTTTTCCCTAGAACGTCAAAATTAGTTTGTTATGTCCTCAAAATACGATGTATTTTTTTTTAATGTGTCCGCAACCCCCACAGCTCCGATTGGGTTTTCTGAGCGCTTTTTCAATCTGTTGCTCCATAATTTATAATTGTATCATGCACGCTATATTATTTATCAGAGGAGTTGAATCTTTCGTGATTTTATTGGAAAGGTCCAAAAATACCCCTAGTTATTTCTCTTTTTACCCGTGTGGGTTCCGTGTGGCCCTACTATAGGGAAAACAAGAATAGACCCACTGCCTACCCCAAAGCATGTCGTAAGAGTAGACTAACTGGGAGCTTTCTTCGAAGTCGGAGTGCATCTGCTTGAGAGGCAAGGAAACAACAGTCTGCATACAAATGAGTCAGATCTGTAAAACGGATGCACACGCAACACTCAGGTTATGGAACAGGACTGCAGTCCAGAAGTGGACGAGCAACCAGAATTTTCCGCCAGAGTTTACAGCTGGTGAACGTGAAGAAGAAGAAAGAAGAAGATTTCTCGTTTGTTCTGTTTCTCTTCCCGGTATTTCGGGTTAAGCAATGCACAGCTATAATTATATTTATGTCTTAACTGTAAATATGTTATAGGATACAGTAAACCAGTCCCAGACAGAGTCGCCAACGCGAAAGCAAGCCCTGGGGAAAGGGGCTGACTCAGAAAAAAAGGGGGAGGGGGGGGGTCAACTGCCTACATTTTCTATAGGGAGGCCACAAATGTACTTCTTCTATAAAGTGTGTAATAATAATAACAACAACAAAAACACTGTGTGCTGATAGTGAAAAACGTAAAATGTCAATTGTTTGGGACAGTCTTGAAGGACGTCATCTGTTGTTAGGTGCCAGTCCACATTTGCACATGGCTGATTCACTGATTTTAAATTGTGTACATGTGGCTGCGAAGTCGTGTGTATCCTGTTCTAAGGCGTAGAAAAAAACTAATAATCTGTCTGTATAATGTGGTAATCGTCTTGTGTCTGTTTTAGTGGCTTTCTGATTGATTTAATTATACTCTTCTTTTGTTGATAAGAGACTGGTACGTCAGTTGTTCTTCATTTGCACTTTCCTTAGCTAATTTATCAGCTCTTTCGTTTCCATGAACTCCGTTAAATTCCATGAAATATATAAACGAACACAAGAAATATAACTTCTAAACATGGTTAAAAAAAAGGGGAAAAAGGGTTAAAAAGGGGGGGGGGGGGGTGACGCTTAGTCTTTTTGTAAAATATGAAGGGGAGGAGAAGAGGATTGGGGGAGGTAAGCCATGATAAATTCTTTGTGTGGAGTGGAGTGGGGTGGGGTTGGAGAGGACGGTGGGTGCCCCTGATTCCAGCATTTGCTGGATTTGATTTCATAAGGCAGTTTAAATGTCAGTAGGTTGCTATAACTGTCAGGAGGTTGCTATAACTGACAGGAGGCTGCTATAATTGTCAGGAGGTTGCTATTAATGTCAGGAGGTTGCTATAACTGTCATGAGGTTGCTATAACTGACACGAGGTTGCTTTAACTGTCAGGAGGTTGCTATAACTGACAGGAGATTGCTATAACTGTCAGAATGTTGCTATAATTGTCAGGCGGTTGCTATAACTGTCAGGAGGTTGCTATAACTGCCAGGAGGTTGCTATAACTTTTAGAATGTTGCTATAACAGTCAGGAGGTTGTTATAACTGTCAGAAGGTTGCTATAACTGTCAGGAGGTTGCTATTACTTCCGAAAAAGTCAATGCTTTTGCCATTGTTTAAATCAAGGCATAAAAGCGGTTTGCTGTTACATAGCTTCCATCTCTTTGGTGAGGAATTTAAAACTGTTCGTAATCCCAAAAGCTACATTTCTGGTTTACAACACCGTGGATTTTTAGACGAAGGTCTATTACCATGTGGCTTGAAAAACTAGATGTGACACTACTCCCCTCGAAAGGAGAACGAGAAAGAGAGGAGGGTGAAGAGAGAGGTGGATAGGGATGAAGTCTGAGAGACTGACATACAGTGACTCAATGGGCCACATTTCGAATGTAAATCCGACAGGAGGAAATCCAAGATGCCCGTATAAAGCAGTTGTGGAGTTTTTAGACGATGGATAAACCTCATGGCACAAGGGTAGTAACCCATAACTGGGCAGCGCGGTTAGGCTACTCTTTTTCGATTTCCAACTGCCAAGGGATTTTTGACGTGCGCGGCAATTCACACGGGAGTCCGATCTTACTACCCAGTGACCAGGAGAAATTACTAGAAGTCTATGTGAGAAAAAAAAAATCAGGCTTTACTGGGGTTTGAACCGGAACCTTCAGCACTCGAGGCTAACGCGGTTCCATTTGTTGTGGAGTACTCTACAGCAGTCATGTCAAACTGAGGATCCCACTAGGGCCATATGAGTTGTGTTTGTTTCGTCGCCAGGGCCACACAAGACAACTAATTACTTGAATAATAATACATAACATTTATAATACAATAATATAGACAATAATTTATAATATTTCTTTCGTGCGGGCCGCAGGTGTGCTTCAAAAAGGGTCGCAGGCTGCCCGCGATTAATCATTGCGACATACCTGCACTTCGTCTACGAACATGCAGTCCAATGCGTGGGGACAATAGAGAAGCGTGGGTGATTACAAAAATGTACAAAAGTTGAAGCGTCAAAGGAGCCGTCGTGGTGTAGCGGCTAGACCCTCGCATGTAGATGTGGGTTGTGGGTTCAAATCCGAATGGAGTAGGACTATTTTCAAAAATTTCATTGGCCCTCGGGTCAACCTAGGATTAATATGGGTACCAGATCCCGGGAAGCAAAAGACATCACACGTGGGTAACATATACGTTAAATACCGTCCACCCAAAACACCTACAGACAGATAAAAATGTTCGTTAGAAGCGAAAAAATAGTAGCAAAAACAAACACACGTGACATTCTTAAAGAACAACTGCATTTACAAGAAAGAGACTCGCGCGCCCGTACTCACACACACACACACACACACACACACAGAGAGAGAGATGGGGGGGGGGGGGGAGAGAGAGAGAGGGAGGGGGGGGTTTTACGTCTTTTTCACATCTCTAGTAAATTGTTGGATACTATATGAAACGAAACGAACTTTAATCATGAAGAAGATATTACAGAATTACAATTCGCCGACGACCAGGTACTCATAGCAGAAAGTACAGAATGCCTACAGAACCACCTAAATCAAATTAGTAACAAAGGGGAGGAATATAATATGAAAATAAACACTGCGAAGACAGACAGAGACAATGGTGATAGGAAGACAGAAAGAAAATTTAGAAATAAAATTTAAAAAACAACACCTTAAGACAAACAGAGGGATTTAAGTATTTGGCAGCAATTTTCACATCCGACGGAAAACTGGACAGAGAAATTAGCCCGAGATGTGCTTAAGCTAATCAAGTTATGGGGCAACTATCTCCCCTGTTGACACACAAGCAGATACCTCGGAGTACTAAAGTGAACCTTATCAGAACTATTTTTTGGTCTACACTATGCTATCAATGCCAAACGTGGACACTTACATCATCCAATCAACGTAAAATTGTGACAAAAGAGATGAAATGCCTTAGAAGAGCTGCAGGAGTTTCAAGGAATGACAGAATACGAAATCACGAAATCAGACGAATGTTAGGAATAAAGCCAGTCTTACGGGTCATCAAAGAATAATACATTAAGTGGTTTGGACACCTAACAAGAATGCCCTGGTACTATCCGCCACAGCGAGCCACACTAAAACGTTACAACGGGTATAGAGCGAGTGGAAGACTTCGGAAAACATGGGAGTGATGGCATTAAGAACAGCCTTACCGAAATGAACATCAGTCTTAATAGTGCTCTTGACAGAGCTCATCAAAAAACATCACACCTCTCCACGACACTTCGATGAGTAGGTACAATGTGGAAGATAAGAAGAAGAAGAAGTATATTGTTTTTCGTCCTTGTGATGTCGGTTGCAGGAAAACACAACTATTTAATCCAAGAGTTAAAGTAATTTTTCTTTCGACACAATAGAGTTAAATGCGTAATAAAAGTAATTCATTCTTCTTATCTTTAAGGTACTTAATGACGCCAAATATAGTCTTGTTGCTGAGATTCATTCAAAATTCACGGATTACGTCAGGATCCATATAATCCCTGCTTGGCTCCAGATCTCGCACAACTCTTCGGCCACATCACGAAATTAAAAATTGTCAAGGATAGTGGGTAAACAGAAAAGAAGTAAAGAATATGGCCAAAAAAAAATGTTATACTAGCTTTAATATCCTACATTATTTACGCGGCTAACTAACTGTTTGTTTATGTTCCAAAACCCTGAAAAAAAAAAAGCGACGCGTAAGATGACTGCACGCTGTTCACAAAAGAAAAAAAAAACCGTTTGACCTTTCGACAACTTGAAGCTACCACCCGCCCCCCCCCTTTTTTTCCAAACAGCCTAGTTTACGGGGAGCTGTATGAGTAAAAACTACAACGCCGTAGAACTTCCTTTAAACAGCCTCCTCTCAGCAGAAGCAGCCACGCCCGTTAACTACAAATAATGTGCGGGTATTAATGAAACATTTTAAGCAAGAAAACAAAACACAAACATTTTTATTTGGAGAGAATGTAAAAAAAAAAAAAAAATTGCGGGACTACTTTTCTTGAGAAGCATAGCACATAGGCTACAGAGTGTGCTGCGCCTTCACCTTGTGTATTCATGTTCTGACCAAAGCATTGGCCCGAATATTTTGTTTACAGTTTTTTATGCGTCCAATCGGCCTCATGTGTGTTCATATATGGCTTCACAACTTTTATACCTCGGCCTTTTGTTTACGATGACCATAGCATGTGCATGTGCTCAAGGTGAGTGCGATTTATGCTGCTAGCGTTTGTTTATAAACATTCTGTGATAAATTTCCCCCAAAGCTGTGTCCTCGCTCATAGAAGAAAAACAACATGGCGCCTGGCCCGAGCGGGGCACCCCCTGTAACCAGGCCAAGTGGACACATTTTTTTTTGTAGCCCTTGCAAAGTTGCTGCATGATGTCTGAGCGTTTAGTACGGCGGTTACTGTGCTAAAACGGCGGTATTATGGGTTGAAAGTTATCTAGTTTACTGCCAGCATCATCAGCTATCCTTTGCAATGTGTCGTTACAAAATAAACACGACGATCATGAATCATTTGCTTGGTTCAAGTTACGATAGTAACAACTTACTAACCGTAACAGAACTGCTATAAATAACAGTACAGTAGTATTTTTTATACGAGAAAGGAACGTATCTTGTCGGGCGTTGTTTTTTCCTAGCACCAGTTTGTAACACTTGTTTCAGCCTGATAATGGCTTTAAAAAAAAAAAAACACACGACACAAACACACAAAAAGTTTAAACACGAATTTAAAAGCTAGCAAAAACATGCAGTTGTTGTCTTTATACTTTATTATATTTTATTTGTGTAACACACTTTTAAAAAGTATTTATAATTTTATGTCACTATAATTTGTTTTTTTTCTGCTGTAACTCCAGCAACTGGGGTTATGATTGCAATACATATTTCTGTTTCTTGAAACTTCAAACAAGATAACTGTAACTTATAACATCTATTTTTATTTTAATATTTATTATTATTCTGTTGCCACACACCTGATGGGCAGTTATTTACCTCTGTGATGTTAATGCATAATTCTTTCAGATTCTCTCTTCTTACCAGATAAGTTTTAAAAATATATTTTGTTAGTTTGAGATTTTTTTGTTTAAACTGAGCTGTAAAAAATTATCTAAAGTAATAGAAGAAAAAAGCCTTCCGCCTTCTAGGCCAAAGAAGTTTAGTGTATACACGGAACATGGAACATTTCTGTTTGGTAACTAAATACACATTTTGTTAATTAAAGTTATTATAATAAACTTCAAATGTTCAATAATTGGTGACTGCACCAAATATAACAATGAAGATAATCCAGTGACAACAAAAATAAATAAAAATGTACTGCTACTAGATGGGTTACATATTAAGAAAACTTGTTAATAATCAATTCGAAAATTTATCTGGAAACCACTGAGCAAATGAATGAGAGGGAGACTTGAAAGCAAACAAAAGATAATTATAGACAGTGATTAATATGAAGATAAAAAGATTTGCAGAAAGGAGACGGCTTGGCAAGAGTTGCCTGTGCAGCTAGTGTTCATGGAAATATGAAAGGCCCTAGAAGATATGCTGATTAAACAGAAGAAAAAACTTTGTCTGTATCTTAGCTTTTGTTAAATACCTTGAATTAAAATATTAAACACTTATTTAAATACATTTTATTTCATCAGAAATAAACACACGTTTTTTTTTAAATATTACAGTGAACAATAAAGAACCTTTTTGGAATGTATTTATTTGTTTTCAAAAGTTGTGAAATGAAAGAGCATTGTCATAGTATTTTATCATCTTTATTACATGATAGTTTATTAAATATTTTAAAATGACCGTAAAAAATTGTTGTTTTTGAAAATATTACAGTGTTTTGTTTCTCCAGTAACAACTGTATGAAATACCCATCCTGTTGAATACAAATAATTTATCTATTCACTTGGTGACATGTTTAGTCCTTTTAGAAAGTTGTGCTTTGTAAAAGCATTTCAACAGTATTTCAAATTCTTTAGTACATTATATTTTGCTTTACTAAAAGTGTGTTTATTTTTAAAATAATAAATTATATTTTATGAAAAATATTACAATGACATCTCTATTTTTTTAAACCTTCAGATAATAAATTATCTGCCTAAGTAAACCCCTCCTTGTAGATGGAAAATAAATTTTATTTTGTGGCACAATATTAATTTTTGTTTTAAAGTCAGTGTTGAAGGAGCATCTTTTCAGTAAATTTATGTTTTGATATATTTTTTTTTTACGTTATCAATTTTTTTTATTGTCATTAACAAATCCACACACAAAATTGTGTGTGAAAGAGCATTCTTACAGTATTTTATGTTCATTAATGCATGGCATTTTGCTTTATTACAGCTTGTAGTAAAAGCAGAAGTTTCATATGTTGGTTGGGTCACAGTCTAAGCTAGTCTTTGTTTAACAACATGCTGACTATAGAATCCAGACAGCTTTTGTTGTACATTTGTTACTTTGCAAGTAAATGCTTTGGACATTAAAAGATTTTGAGAAACACACACCCCATTTTTGGAACTGAATTATTAACTAATAATGCGGTCAGGGTGAATAAATGTCTGGTAACAAAAAAATTGTATATGGTGTTGAAAATATTAGTTATGTAAACAAGTGGCATATGAATGATTTCAGCCATATTTAAAGATGTAACACTCTTGTTAAAACAGCTTTGTTGGAGAGGGAAGGTGAATGTAGGAAAGCAAGAGGAAGACAGTAATGCAAGTAAGACAAGATAAAAGATGGATAAACAGTACCTGTAAGAGTTTACAGTCAGTGTAGTAGACAGTTTTGTAAACACATTTGCAGTCAACCTTCACTTTGAAGACATCTGTTTGAGGGGTAACAGTAAATGTGTATTGTATTGATTGATAATGAGAGGGGTAGTAGTAAATGAGTATTGATTGATAATGAGAGGGGTAGCAGTAAATATGTATTGTATTGTGTTGATCTATAATGAGAGGGGTAACAGTAAATGTGTATTGTATATTGTTGATAACAAAGGAAATCCCTAAGTTCCTTGGAAATTCCAATATTCCGGGAGTTGTCATGAGTTGGATTTTAGGTTAGGGTTAGCCATTGTCTCTTGAGGTGGTCAGGGCTGACAAACATCGTTACCCCAGCCAACATCTCTAGAATATTGAACTTTCCCAGAAATCCTTGATTTCCTTTGTCTGGAATGAATTAAAATTTAAGCGCCTATATTTAAAAAGAAACCAGTCGTTAATTTGTGCTCCCCCCCCCCCCCCCCCCCCCAATGCAATCAAGCTAAACCATATGGGATAAAACCCGGTGCAATGAATCCGGCCCTCTCACCTTTACATTTTATTATTTATAAACATTTTATTGCTTTTGAATGTCTGTTAAAAATTGTTTGCACACATGGGTATAGTGGTTAAGTACACAATGAAATATTGATCAATGCAGAAAAGTAGATATGCAGATGAAGACTGGTGTCAATAAAAATAAATAAAAGGTAATGAATGGAAAGTCAGGACTGTCATGTTGACTAAACGTTCTGACCTTTATTATGAAAATGGCATACAAACTGTTATAAGATATACTGATTCATGTTAAATAAAATTTGCTACCAAAAGGATCACATTTTACCGAGTATTGACACAATCATATATATGTACACGTGTGTGTGATAATTAATAGATGAAGTTGAGAAACGGCAAGTTGCATAATCAGTGTTGAGACCATATCACTTGACTGATATGATAAAGCTATCTTCAGGTTCATTTTAATGGTTACCTTCGTGATAAGGCACATTGTGAAGGATTTCTCTATCAGCCCTCTGATATTTTTGCTGCATCACCTGTCATGTACATAAGTATTTATCATGTAAAGAAGGTGGGTTATCTCTTCTGCAACAGTATCAAATGCCTCCACATGTCTTATCACTGGGGTATCTTTAATAAATGGTGAACTGTTTGCTGATCCGCCTGTTAGGGCATGAAGTGTTACTTCATTATGTAATCTGTTTATGAATGAAGGTTACCTTTTATTTTCCATCAAGAAATCTGAAACTGTTTTTGAGGGACTGGTTTTATTTAATGTAATATGTGCTGATATGAAGTTTCTTGAAATATTCTTATTCTGATAAATCTAGAGGTGGGGAGAAAACACCCGATGGCAATAGGACACACTTTGAGAATGTCTGATGACGTATACATAGAATGCCTGTGTCTCTAGGGGATCAAGTGAACGGAGTATCCATACCTCAAAGACTTGATTCAATAGGAGTAGAAACAGAACTGGACAGTGATTTTCAGTGTGCAGGGAAAAGACAGGCAGACTTTTATTCAGGTTGCAACTTGCACCATAATTATGGGAACTCTTCATTGGCTGCTGAGGGAGGGACAGAGCACTTGTGTGAATGTTCCTATTGCATTGACATCAATTGCTTAATTAATTCATTCATGTCTTTGTTTTGGAACCAATAGGATCAAAGGTAAAATACATATAATATAATGATCCTTAAAAAAAACTAGGGCTAGTCTGAATTTAAACCTTTTAATGTATTTGGCTAGGTTTATGCTGACACCCAAATACTTATTTGACTTTGCATTGATTTTGACAGGGGTGTTAAGACCCAACCATTCAGAAAGCAGTGGCAAACTACTGAATGTAAAATTGCCTAGTAAATGGTCAGTCATCAAATTCTGCTGTTGGTTTCAAATGTCCTATAAGGAAAAAGCAAAACTTTAATATACCTGGCATTTCTTTGGATCTTATTACTTAATAGTATAAGGTGGACAGATTTCCCTAATAAACATTTTCTTCTTGTCAGTTCTCATGTCTATATTTTTTGTTGTTGCTAGGATAACAGTTTAATCTCAGATCCCTATCAGCAGTGTTTGAAATGTTCTGCAACTAATATTTCCATCTTGTTAAATGAAGTAACATAGTAGGTAAGGCAACAATATGACTCGGCTGATTTCTGTAGGTGCGTCTGCTGCTATTCTTAAATTGAACAGTGCATAGATTATGGAAATGAGATACATGAGAAAGGCTGAGAAGGAATCAAAAAAGATAAAATCAGGAATGATAACATAATATGTTAGTCAGCTCAGTTGTTTGTTTACCAGTTTTTTATTGCAACAATGAGGGACATTTCATTTGATTTGCACTGACACCAGAACGGTTCAAGTATGGGAAAACCCAGTTGCTGTGATGTTGAAACCCGGACTAAGACTTAAGATTTTCTAGAAATCCACAATTCTATGTCTCACTGCATGGTGTCTGTTTTACTTCTTAGTCTTCTAACAATAAACTTGGTTAATCCTTCATTACGCTGTGAAAATAGATTGCAGTTGATCAGGTAAATGTCACTTGAGGGTGCCTTTTTTATGATTGCTATAACTTTTAAAATTCGCTTGCAGATGTCGGCTACTGTAAAGTTATCTGTTCCATGAAGATTTCAGCTTCATTATGTGGTTCAGGAAGATTTCATCTACACTTACTGGTCCAAGAAGATTTCAGCTACTGCTATCTGGTCTAGAAAGATTTTAGCTACTGTTAAGTTATCCGGTCCAGGAAGATTTCAGCTACTGTTAAATTATTTATTTCAGGAAGATTTCTCTGTGTGTTTTGCAGAACACATAAACATTTAATACTGACTGAAGACTTGGTTTTTCTTAACATTAGCCATGATTACTTGGTGGTACTTAAAATTCAATAGATGCTTTTAAAAAAAATCTTGTATCTCTATTTTTTAAGCATTCTTTTCGTATTCCAAGTTTATTCAATTTTTTGGATTGTAAAATTGCATTGCCATTTGTTCTTTTAACACATGGTAATTTCTGTATCAGTATTTTTATGTTTAAAACCTTTGAAAGGAAATATCCTTTCTGGTCAGATACACAGTTGTGGGTATAAAGAGTAGGGTTTCCCATATACTTGCTTATTGTAAAGTGTTAGGACCCTGGTTAACTCTCTCACTGCCTTCTTCTTTTCTCTTTCTTCATCTTCCTTCTTCTTCTTTATCTTCTTCTTCTTCTTCTGTTTACCTTTAAAAATGTGGTTTGCTGTTTGGTATTTTAGAGCTGAAAATCATGATTATCATAAGAACACTGAACTCAGTTTCAAAATTACTTCAAGCACCTCCTTGAAAGTCCCTCACACCCCCTCCCCCAGAGAGGCGTAACACCCAGATTGGTGATCATTGCTAGTTCTTTGTGTAGTCATCCAATACTATCCTTAATGCATGTGAGCGCGAACACGCACCAATTAAAGGCATTTTCTAGTCAGTTTTCTAGACACTGGCCAAATGACTTTCTGGTTTTGTCTTCGTTCCAGTGACGCTGGCGCGATGGGAACGAAAGGGCTGATAAGTTGGCTGGATCCACTATCATCGCTGAAGGTCAACTCATGGATCATGCTGATATTAATAATGCCCTCAGAGAAGTTGGAAGGGTGGGGGACTTTTGAGACAGCGAATTCCACATTGCTCACCAGAATGAAAGACTTGGGAGTTAAAATCAGCATAGCCAAAAGTGAGAGACACACTAGGCATACAAAAAGACTTATTAATCAAAGAACTGGCATTTTTAGTCACAGGAGGCTGGCGTTCGTATTGAGGAAAGGATCTGAGTACCTGTGGACGTATCCAAAGTGCAATGAGCATATCCCAACTAACATTCATGATGGCATGTGGGCGGGTGTTTTGTTTTTCATTTGCAGTGGTTAGTTAGTTAAAAACATCAGTCACATAGTAGGTCAAAGAATGGGAGCCCTAGTTAAAGTTGAAGGTGGCCAGGCTTATAGCGCTAACAGACCTTTTTTTGATTGGTTTGGTGTAAATACAAGGTAGTAAGCAGTAGCTAAATATTCTGTATTGATGTTCTTTTTAAGCTCTCAAAGTGATTGACACACCTGAACTATTTCATTTGCTAATACATTGTTTTGTTTGATACTTAGATCTTGTAGAATATAATCTTAGAATTTTCTTATTTCTTCATCTAATACTTTTGTGTGTGTGCAGTTAACGCATGTAAAATGAACCAAACAAAAATAGTACTTTTCCTGGTAAAGGTGGTAGGCGAAAAGAATTAGTATCTGCACTTTGTAAAGAGATAATTCAGAAGATGTGAGTCCATTATTCACGGTAGCTAAAAGTAGAAATAATTAACACAGCCACCAAAGGTGGCTGCAAGTGTGTGCTGGCTTGTACAGAAACGTTTTCACTAGGCATTGATGGATTCATTGTGTTCTGGTATTCTAAAAATCACACAGAAGAAAAATCTTAACTCTAAAGTTTAGACGTGTGACAATTTACATGTAAGCTCCTCAGAATCACATGCTGTGAATACTTTTTTGTTATCAGATTTGTTAGAATTTGAGAAAAATTACAGATCAGAAGTACACTTGATCCTGTTTGATGCTGGTGAACTAATTCTTGTTTCTGCTCTTCGCAGGGGCTGAAAGCAATGAAGAACCAAAGATTGACATGGGTCTGTCACTGGTCCCTGGTCCGCATGTCATTCTTGTTCAGCGGAACATGAAAACACCAGTCCTGCTGAATTGTTCTCTGAACGTCACCGATCAGAAATTACTGCCACTTAACTACAAATGGCTGAAAGATGGCCAGCCGATAGACGTAATTCATCGGAAATCAAAAATGCAACTTCTCCCAAATGGATCTTTATTATTGCAGCCACGCAGAACCAAGAATCGAAACCGAACTTTGGATGGAGTATATGATTGCCTCGTAACAACTGCGACAAAACATGTTCTCATAGCCAGACGCGTGAAAGTTGTTGTGGCAAGTAAGTACTCCTGTCCTTGACCAGTGATGATAGAGTGACAGAAGTCAGAAATGTTTGTGATAAATGCTGTTTGAGCATTACAATTAAAAGATAACAGGTGTTATTGAATCTGCTCTTTCTGTTTCACACAACCCCCTCCCTTCCGCCTTAAAGGCTTTAAATATTTTTGATAAAGTAAAAAAGAGTGCCCAGAAAATACTCCAACTTGAAAAGCACAAAGAAATTATAGATGATTTCTTCATTACTTAAGAAAATGACCTTATAATAAAGAAGACACAAACAATAGATTGCACAATTTATTGCCTGGCATATTTCGCTGTATCTCGTCAGGTGCATACTACAGTAACAATTACAAAAATAAAGCAAATAAGTGAATCCTTTATAACTGAAGTACAGTTTCAACAGCAGTCAGCTTTCTATGCCGCTTTGCCAATTATCATGTTTAAAACTACTGGTAAAATCAATAAAATCTATATATAGAGGTTGAGTTTGATAAAGGCATTTTTCTTGCAACTGTTGTAATGAGAATATCATATCAATGGTAGACCGGTTTCCACGAAAGCCACACTGCGACTATGGGCAAACCTGGTCTAGGATCTGGAGTCTTTACAGTAAAATTCTCACAAGTACTTTTCCAACTGTACACAGCAGTGATATTCCCCTGTAGTTATTACAGTCACTCTGATCGCCCATGTTCTTGTACATAGTTATGATGCTTGAGTCTTTGGACTCTACAAATGACTGTTTAAATTTTGTGTTTTTGCTATACATTTGTAGTTTTTAAATTCTTTCCATTAAATCTGGTCTCTTTGTACCATATTATTCTTGGCATTGGGTTATTTGCCTGGGCGCTACTCAACATTGAATCTTTCTTTTGTTCACTAAATCCTTGAGATTCTCTTTCCTTGCCATCGATTAGCTTTCCACAGTTTCACTTTTCGTTGTGGCTTTTGTATATAGATGTGATTTACAAACAAAACCACTGAAGCAGGGAAAACAGCATATAATATTCCAACTCTGAAGCTTTCATGCGGTATTGCTTTCACCTTTTCTGTTGCCCTTATGATGTTATCTCTAAGTTAAAAAATTATATTTAGGTTAGTTTATCATTCAAGCCACTGAGAATTCTTGTTTATTTTGTTTCAATTTATTTAGCCTAAATTTTCATTAGTTTTATAAAACATGCATTTTTGTACTTGCCTATTGGTTGCGGTTGCTTATACCAGGAATATTGTTAAAAATTTGTGGGAGGGTGCGAAGTATAGTAGTCAGTAGGGATTAACATTACAAGGCGAATATGCACCATTTCCTCGGGTTTATTCACTGCAATATTACACATACCCGCCGTACTCATGCCTCTCTATTATACACACAACTACAGGCGGCTCAGTGAAATGTGTCTCCTCTTTTCCTCACCTCAAATGCGAATATACCCTAGATGGAGGACATAAACAACTAATGTGGATACATATATATACATACACACACACACACACACCGCGTTTCCCCGAAAATGAGACCCTGCCCCATATTAATTTTTACTCAGACACAAGGAACTTATTTTCGGTGGGTTTCGTGTGTTTTTGTTGTTAGTTTTATGCACAAAGTTCTACACATATACTATCGTACATTTAAAGCAATAATGCTGATATTATTGTTTATATTTATTTATATAATAATTACCATGCACTTCATTACACCGGGCGTGTGTTTTAATGGATGGACGAGATCTGGCTGGCAAACTTAAATATGGCTTATATTTGGGGTTGGGCTTCTGGTAACACCTTCCTGAAATAGTCGTTGGTGGTAGCTGATGTAGCCTGGTGCTGGATTGAAGGTTAAAGGTTCGAACCGCTTTAAAAAAAAATGAGAATTGTGTCGGTATGCTTGTGAGTGTGATTTGTTTCTTCCATTGAAATATGGGGATGAGGGGGGGGGGGGGGGTGTTAACAGAAGGTATAAACAGCCAGACCAACAGACTTGATACTCGATATCTTTCAGTGGGCACCAGAGATACTGTATCACACCTTTGTTGTTAAAGGAACCCTTTTTGAAGCCTTCAGATATATTGGGATAGGCCACCAGATGGGGGATGTGGTCACCATTACGCCGGTCACCCTTTTAACTGGCCCCAATTTAAGGCTGGGTCGACCTTGAAGCTAGGGTAATTTTTGAAAGAAAAAAGTCTAGCACTGTCCGGATTTGAACCCACGACATTCAGATCGGCAGGCGAGCGTCTAGTCGCTACACTACAGCAGCCTTCCTTTGTTATTATAGTCGCTTAATGTTTGTTTGTTTTGTTTTAGTATCCAGAAGCCATGTGTTGTTAAAGTTAACCCTTAGGCTCGGTATTATGGATATCGCAACATTTCGGCCTTGATTCCATTGTAAATACCGTAAATCTGGGAGAAATGTGGCTTTTCTGCCTACCCCCGGGAGTGAACCCAGACCACAAGGAGTTCGTGACCCGGTCACCGCGCGGTCCGGTTTAGCCAACTACGCTAGAGAGCCGGGCATAGTCGCCTTATAGTTGGGTTCTGTAACAGGAGGGAAAACTGTCGGCTGGTTGATGACCTATAGCTTGTTTACTGCGCTTAGGCAAAAGTGTAACGATCCGTGGCGGCAGGTAACCAATTACCGATAGCAATGAGAACTTGAGTTCCCATAGCAAAACTATGATCTATACTTGTTTTATTGATGCATCTTTGTTGTTTAGTTTGTCTCTAAATCACCCATGTGCATTCGCACACGTATGCACACTATGTTCTATGTCGCTTGATATTGGGAATACATCATCATCAGTTCTCGTTGTGCCTAGTGGCACATGAGGCTTCAGAGAGGACTTACCATGCTTTCCTGTCCTGTGCAATCCTCAGTGCAGTTTTCCATGTCAAAGATGCCGCACTCAGGTCACTTTCCATCGTTCTTCTCCATGCTTTTTTTTGGGGGCGCCCCTGTTTTTTGGAATATATAGTATACCATTCAGTATATATACTTGTGAAGGTTAGGGACAGAATTCTCGTGTGCTAGAGCCAGTTTTAACATACGGCTGTGAATTAATAAACACGCCGAACCATATCTTGGAGGCCTCAGAGATGTGGTTTTACAAAAGAATCCTTGGAATTTCCTTGAACAGCTCAAGAACAACAACCCAGACGTTTTGAAAGAGACAAATGCTCGAAGACAACATCGCAAACATCAGAAAAAGACAGTCATCATTTTTTTGGGGGGCGTCATGTTATGAGAAGAGGGAAAATATAAAACATGTTGTGACCACTGGAAAGATCTGTGGAAAGAGAGAGAGAGGATGACAACGTAAGAGAAGATTCTTGACAGTCTTTTGTCATGGTATGGAGGAGTGTGCTAAGCAGATAATGCGATGTCTGTCTATCGTATCTGTTTTTCTTTCCTTCCAAAAGGCAACATATAAGACGGCCCTACATGCCGAATTCCCACCCTCTGCAAAATTACTTTGTCCCCTTCTTTTGCAGAGAAAAAACAGTATCATTTTGCAGAATGTCACTCGATGTTCTTTGATTGATTTAAGGCTGGTTTTGTGTCAAAATGGGATAAAAACGAAACGTGTGATAAGTAGCGCACATAAGTTGAGCCTGTTACCGCATATAGGCGCTAAGAGTAAATGTTTTGTTTCTCTGTTTTTATTATTATTTTTTTCTGCCGCCAATTCAGAACGCGACTTTTGGCGTTGTCTTTTGTTGTGTGTTGGATTATCTTTAAAGCACTCGGGACACAGCCATGGGTGCTCAGATTTCCCCTTTTACACATTCATCGGCGTTCGCATAGTTAGAAGTGCCGATGTGCTTATCATGCTTGGCTGTGCTGATCTTTACTGCAGATACTCGAATTCTTAGTAGTGGTGTGGACACGTTGCTTCTAAAATCCTCGAAACGTGTGTTTTATGCAAAATGATTGTGTGTAATTTAAAAAAAAAAAATGCCCGTCCAGTATATTTAATGTTAGGCGACATTAAAAGCACGGGGCACAATCTATCAAATAAACACAGATTATAGGAGTTTGTATGTTTATGTGAACAAAAAAAAAAAAAATCTCAACGAACCCCATGCAGAATTTTGCAGTAGCTAAAGGGAAAAATCGTGACTTTTCATCCGATTATTAAGAAAACATTCTTACAATACCACCGATCAGAACAAACATGATATTAAGCTCGATGTAAACATCGAAGAGAACTTTTTTTCATGAACTGCATTTATGTGTTGGGAATTGAAATACGTGCTGGAAATAACATACTGCTCATGATAAGTGATGATATTATATAACAGCTATTATATTCTATAATTGCCTGTATTCGTTTACTTGTCTCGTAATACTTCATCGTTTCGGACTGTTGTAGTTGTCTGAGGCCGATTACAGATGGTCTATATAATTAAATTAAGCATCGTCGTGTAGCAGGTTCTTTACTGAACGTCGCTTTTATCACAGCCCATCTCTTCCGCCTTGTGCACTTTCTTACCCAAGGTGCCCATCTGCGTACTGGTCGGCCCCTGCCACTCTTTCCCGGCACTATGCGCTTCTACCCCGATACTGTTCTTTCAAGTTCAACGTGACGCTTAGATTACGTCTAAGGTTTATACATTTCAGGATTGAGGTCTAAGCAAGACATCAATATCATGGCACACTGGTAGTAACCCATAAGTGCTCAGTTCTTCTTCTAAATTCTAGTCTGAGTCCGAAGAAGCTCAGCACAGTGAACAGGCTCTGTAGCACCAGCGAGGATCCTGAAAATACTTTAGGTAGATTTTTAACTAAGAATTTTGCCCCGGCCGTGCCGTTAGGCTACTCTTTTCGATTTCCTACTGCCAAGGAATTTGTTACGTGCGCAACAATGCACCGGAGTCCGATCTCACTGCCCAGAGACCAAGGGGGGTTACCATAAGTCCAAGTCCACGTGGGGATTGAATCCGGAACCTCTAGCACACAGCTCCCTATATAAACTTCAGTTTCGCATTATGTAGCCTGTA